ACGTCAACAAGCTTCAGGCCCGCGCTTACGTCACAGTGACCGAGTGAAGCCGGCCACAGTCAAGCATGTGCAGTACTAGCATTTGTCAGGGGTGTCACAGACAAGATTGGCTACATCTTGAAGCGAGCTGACATGAAGCATCAAGGTTCAGGGAAGTTTGCAGTTTGTGATCATATCCTGGACGGCCCCAACCAGATAGACGTATAAAAAAGATTTGATAGACCACAAATCCTCTAAAAGGTACATCAATTCCTATCAAGGACCGATACCTGAGACTATTGAAATAAAAATAAAATTCAATATATAAGGAAGCTTGGTACTACCACCTGCTTAAGACCCTGTAATTAATGAAATTAAAATTAAACCCAAGCATACCATTGCAAGACTTCAAGACACAGTAAGTTCATTCTGTAGATCGGACCATATACAAAAATTAAAAATCTGAAGAAACACTGACGTTGTGACGTCAGTCACCTCAGTTCGCCATAACCATGGGTGTTGGAAAGCACCCGAAACGTCTGGAATTAAAAATCAAAGAAATAAAACGCGATAAAATCGATAAAAATAGTTGTTAAAAAAACTGCATTTGTGAAAATAAAAACTTATATATCTTCAAAACCCCAACTTTTTTTAAAGCAATTCCTTAACCATTTCATTGTTTTAATTGCATATTATCATATCTATATGCTTTTATATGTGGGCACCCATGGCCGAAGTGTCTATGAAGAATGGGCACTCCCCTTTAAGTTTATGTTTAGGTAACATTTATTTCAAAGGGGTCAAATATATTCATTAAAATCAATGTCAACAAATCAATAATTATTAAAGCTTAATGTCAATAAATTCTTCAATGTCATACACTTTAAATTCAATAAGCCTCTTATAGAGTCTCGGTTTGAATGCATTTTTTTGCGCTATAAATACCCTTTGTCTCAGTACTATTGCCCCATATCATCACCCCATAACGTAGAATGGAGGCTACATATGCGTGGTAAGTGGTAATGGCTGTTTGCAAGTTAGTTACGCTCCTTGTATTATAAAGAGCATAAAAAAGCTGTTAATACGCTTGAATAAGGCCTCAATGTGTAATTTCTAGTTAAGATTTTGGCCTATCGTTATACCTAAAAACTTAGTATGTGTAATTTTTTTAATCTTTTCAATATCGATGTTAAAATTGTATTTATCATATTTGAATTTATTAAATTGAATGAAATTTGATTTATCTAAATTTAATTTTAGATTATTTTCCTCTAGCTATTTAATAATGTTGTCAATAGTATTATTAATCTCAATTTCGTGGTCATGTATTGAATTGTATTTTTTTTCTGATGTCACAATTATGAAATGTCATCGGCAAACAAGACACATTCATGACCAGTCACTTTGGTTCTGTCCTTTATGTACAATATAAACATAAGTGGACCTAGGACATTTCCCTGAGGGATACATAATAACACGTGTTATTTTTTAGGGTAGAAGAACATGTTACGAGTTCGCTATTTATGATTTTGTTTACAGTGACGCGCTGACACCGATTATTCAAGTAGGATGATAGCCACTGTAGTGTAGGTCCTCTTATACCAATCGTTTCAAGTTTTATTTAATAAGAGGTCGAGGTCTACAAAATCAAACGCCTTGGATAAGTCAAAAAATAGACCTGTTGTTAGATAACCTTCATTCAATTTTGTGAGTATTGTTTGTACAAGAGTAAATGTTGCTAAAGTTGTCTACTTTTCTTTTTGGAAACCGAATTGATCCTTACTAATGATGTTGTATGTGTTGCAATAATTGAGTATTCTCAGGTGCATACATTTCTCAAACACTTTCGATAGAATAGGTATAAGAGTAATTGGGCGATAATTGTTGACGTCATTTTTTTACCCTTTTTATACAATGGTTTCAGGAATGATTATTTTAATGCTTCCGGAAACGTACCAGATGAAAATGATAGATTAATTAAATACGTCAATACAGGCACTATTTCATCAATACACATTTTAATTATTCTTGTACTGATTCCGCCAAAACTTTCTGAATTGGTGTTGTTCAAAGCCATTGTAGCGGCGCTGTCGTCGCGCCACAATCGAAATACACCGAAGTCTAAATCATGCTATCAACATTCCGAATCAGAAACAGTATATATAGAACATCTCCGAAATATCACACGGAGTGTTGGCCGCTCCCCGGGCAGAACACCTTGCCCGGCGGGAGATCTCCCCTTTTCCTTCCACGGCCACAGTGGTGACCCCGACGTGATCTGAACACGCAACCAAAACAACCTTCGGAAACTTCAAGCTTCATCATCGTCATAGAATACCCCACCCATTCGCTCCCGAGCAGATATCGTCTGCAGTCTTCATATCCTGCAAGCCATCTAGCTTCACAAGGTTCATCGCAGCACTGGAATAATAATGCTTCCTGTTCCTTCAAGCTACTCTCTGCGCCATACAGTGTTCGGCACGGCTCTGAGCCTTACTGCTCGCCTCTGCTTCACGGCACTCTCGCAGATTACTTGCCTTCTTCTCGACTCACCGCAGACTACAAGGCAATCTCCTGGCACTTGCACATTCGTCGACAACTCGACTGCACTACCGACCTCCGGTCTGAGCAGGGGGTGATGTAGCGGCGCTGTCGTCGCGCCACAATCGAAATACACCGAAGTCTAAATCACGCTATCAACATTCCGAATCAGAAACAGTATATATAGAACATCTCCGAAATATCACACGGAGTGTTGGCCGCTCCCCGGGCAGAACACCTTGCCCGGCGAGAGATCTCCTCTTTTCCTTCCACGGCCACACCATAATTTCTTTTTTTACTTTTTCTTTTGAAGTCGGAAGAAGAAACATCGTGTTTGGTATAAGTTTGTTCTTAGCAGTTGTTTTTTGTTTATTATTTGTCGTCAGGTTTTTTGTATTTGTCAATTCAATAAAATGTTCATTAAAAGCTGAGGCTATGTCAAAAGGATTTGTCAATTGTTTTTGTTTAAACTTATGTCACTTAACCGTTCAGTTTTAGGCCTTTGCTAATCCAATTTTGTGTGTTCCTATGAGTGTTGTTAACTTTAATTTTAATTAAAGAAAAACACAGCTTATAAAACATGCACAGTAGTTCATGAAACTTGTTGAAGGCAGAGTTTAAACTCATATCTGCGTATACCTCGGACCAAGTTATGCTTTTTAGGCACTCCCTGAATTTGATAATATTTTCGCAACTGTAGTCCTTTCTAAGTACTGTGTATGTTTTTAGTTTTTTATTTTTTCTTTGCACAGAGAAACACAATAATTGAGCTGTATCGTGATCTGACAAGTATAAAGGTAGTACCGTAGCGTTAGCGTCTATAATGTTACTTAGAATTTGGTCTATGCATAAGTTTTTGCGTGTTGGTACCTTTATACGTATTCTTAGGTTATGTTTTAGACATATATCTTGGAGGTAATCTGATATTTTTCCTTGTTTCAGCGTATCAATGTTAAAATCACCCATCACAACAACTTTTGTATCAGACTTATGGTTTCTTAATAATACATGCAATAGTAGGTCTAATTTGTTTAAAAATTTATTTGGATCAGATGTAGGTGTTCTATAAACGCATACAACCACTAATTTATGTAGAGGCATCTCTATGCCACATACTTCAAAGCTCTTTTGTGTTGCGTACTTTTTTTAGTTTTAACATTTCTTTGTAAGTACTATTTTGTTTGGCTAAGATACAGGTTCCTCCCCTCAGTTTATCCTGACAAAACGCTGTTGCTAACTCATAATTATAAATATTTATGTACTTCTCGCTACCAGATTGCAGAAAAGTTTCAGACAAACATATTAGATCTGGTTCATTATTCATCTTGTTAAGTTCTTGTAATGTTATATCTAGTAATTCCTGCTTTGCCATGACACTTGCAATGTTTTGGTGCAAAATTTTAAAAGTTTTATTACTGTGAGTCACAAAAAATGGCTTATCTATTTTTTTTAAATAACACTGTAAGGTACTTTGAGTTAAACGCGTTGACCTATTGGCATTAGATCCACTAATAGAGGTATTAGCCTCCGATCGAGTCCTGGAAAAATAGTACGGGATTGTTCCCTTTCGATACTGTACCACTTTAGAGGGAGCTTTTTCAGGCGCTGGCTTACTACGTGCTATTATTTTTTTCAGTTGTTTGCGATTGAGATATTCATTTTCGTAGTCAATGCAATTTATTACATAATTAATCGAATTACATAATTCAAAAGGATTCCTGTGTTTACATTTCACGAAATGACATTTTTGATTTTCATTACAAATTCTCTTTAAATTTTTATTTATGTCATTCACACTTCGGTATATATTTGTCAATAAATTTAATACAATTATGTCATTATCAGGAAAATATTTAAGAGACCGTCGTAGCTGTGATGATAGTATTTTAATATCATAGTTGTTTTCGCCAATGCAGATTATAACTTTGTCTTTTGGTTTTACATTTACGTTTTGAATATTTATGATAAAATTTGAAGACGGTGCGTATGGTTTTGTTATTGCTGTGATAACGTATTTCACGTATGGCGTGTTCGCTCGAGACTGAATTAAGGCGGAGGCGAGACCGGTACAGCGCTGGGTTCCTGATGATGTATAACCGGTTCTTGTCATCTTCTTTTTTAGCGCATACTAAACTCGTGGATTTAGTCTGTAAAGGTATTTGTGTGTTGTCTAAGGCTGATGTCAATTTCTGTTCCAGAGTATTTATATATTTTTTTAGAGATATTACCTAGTTTTCAGTATATTTAAGCTGTTTCTCTAAGTCTTTAATTTTTAGTTGGAGTGCCATGGGTGTGGTGTTTGTATGAGCTGTTTTTTTTATATGCCGGAGAAACAAAACCAGTGTGAGACTGGGAAGTGAGAGAAGAAGATAATACTGACTGTAGTTTAGATCGTCTATTACGTTTTTCGGAGCTCTGGATTATTTGGCTAACGTTATGTGAAGATTGGCATAAGGCTGTCAACGTATTATTTTCCTTTGTCAATTTGATTTTTTTTTCTGTCGGAGATTGTTATTTTCTAATGTTATGTTATTGAATTCATTCTGTAGTATGTTATATTCCGTTCGGAGTCGGTTAATTGTGTCCTTCATTTCCTGTATAGCTGCAATAGAATCGGTTATAGTTTGGTTCAAACTTTTTGAAAGTGGTTTACGAAAGCAAACCACAAGCTCACTCAGATCGTGGGAGGTAGTCAGAACATGTGAGTTGTCAGGTTCGTTGGAATCGTGGGATAAAGTTAGTGCTTGTGAGTTGTCTATTTGATTTATTGGTGAGGCATTCAGTTGAGCAATGCTTTTCTGCATTGTTTGTGATTCGTCCAGATGTAATAACACACTTGCCGGCGCAATTTCTGAAGGTTCCGTCTCAGTCAGCATAAAAATTGCACTAGAAGTAGAAGGGCTTTCGTCGGATTTCTTAGCTGTTTTGTATTTCCTTGTGGTTACGTGGGATAAAGGGGAGTAAGGTGTCGAAGTCCCTTTTGATTTTTGGCTACAGTCTTTGCACTTCCATTTATTTTCAGCTTCTGCATCTTTTAAGCGGTATAGTCTCTCCGAGTATCCGACGCAATCAAATTCGAAGTTGTTCCTGCATAGCGAGCATAACATTGTATTTTTGGGTCAAGCTTGCGCTTATATTTGGAACATGTAACTTGTAGTGTCATCTTACGGCCATTACCTGTATTTTTTAAATTGGGTTTTGTCATTTTGGCAATGAGAATCTATACAATGCGTTTAATTCAGTAATATATTAGTAGATGTCGTTACTGTATCAGGGGCGACAGACAGATGACGTTTATTCAGGGTATTTCTTGTATGGAAATCAGCGGCAGCTAGTGACGGGTAAACATGTTACTTAAGACGTACTTATATATTATGTCCGTAAACGTGAATCACTTTATTCAATAATTAACTAGATAGCGCTCATTAATGCAATTGTTTATATGGAAGGTAGCGACTTCTAGTGATAAGTACTAGTGAGATTAGATATGAACGTTATGATGATTCACCAGCTGATCTTTATTTATGTCAAGTTTGAATTTATGTAACGTCCGAATAATTATAAAATTTAATTGTGTTGTCTTTTACACAGTCACTCACCGAGTCAAAATGAAGTAAATTTGTGTCCATTGTTCATGCACTCACACTTATATTGTCGATTTTTTTTCTGTTTATACACACAATGAAAATTTCAAATAAACACATTTATTTTTAACATTTTTACGTAAATAACGTTTGTGGCACTTTCTCTTCAATACACCTATAGTTTTAAGTTAGTTTACTGTGTAAATTTGACGCAATTCTATTTATTTTATAAAATTTACTACGGCGGCGATGTGAACCGTGGTGGCACTAACGCCATCTCTGTCTAATGTGTCTCTGTCTGTCTGTCGAAGCTTCGGTGAAGCGCCCATATATCTAAACAATGCAGCTTATGCTGTAAAAATGATTAGAGATCTCACTATTGTCACATGGGATTTTGCTACGGGGGAATGCGGCATTGTAAAGAGTCATTTACAACCTTAAACGAAAACAGTCTCTTAGAGAAAAAATAAAAAAATAAATATATTAACTTTGGTCTCTCAGTATATCTATGAAAATTTAATGTATGTTCACAAAACAAAGGTATCTTTAAAGGTAGCGATACCACTTTCTCGACTCCACTGAGTCAGTAATTCATTCTTGGGGCAATGTTTAAGCATTGCAACAAAGTCACAGAAAATATACAAGGTTATTACCAAGTTTAAATATTTAATTCAACAAAAACTCGATAAAAAGGATTATTATAATAAAATGGTTGATAATAAACCCTGGGAATGAGGTGGTCGCTTGCAAGCTGTTTTTAAAACACATTTTTTAAATATATTGTGATCATTGTCATTGTAAATCCTATATATTTAAACGAGCAATTCTTGTATATATATATATATATATATATATATATATATATATATATATATATATATATATATATATATATATAATCGGAATCTCGGAAACGGCTGCAACGATTTTCATAAAATTTGGTGTCCAGTAGTTTCGGGGGCAATAAATCGATCTAACTGGGATTTAGTTTTAGAAAATGTCTTTTTGTCCGTGTTTTCAGGCAATGAAAAACTGCTATAATATAAGAAGGTAAATTTTGACACTGTGTTAATAATCTTAATAGCTCAAGTGGATATCGAGCGGTCGCGAAATCGTAATGCCTTAGTTCGCGTCCTGTCTTCGGTCCGACCTTTTCCCTTTTTTTTTCAAGTTCCCTTCTATTGTGAGAAAATCTATTATTTCGAGCCCTTTTTTTAGTATTTTTTAAAAATATGAAAATTTTAATTAAACTAATTGCAGTCATGATTTTTTATTCAAATAACCAGTTCAGTTTTTTCTATTATGTCAATAAGATCAAAAAATATTATTCATGTTTCATCAGTATGTAATTTGTATCGAAATGTAATTAAAAAAAAAATCCGAGCAAAGCTCGGTCATCCAGGTACTTGTATTTAAACAAAACAGTCCCGCTGGGTTTTCTGCTGGTTCTTCCCAGTAAAGTGGTTTTTTCCGAACCAGGGATAAAGTAAAAAATTGACTTTCGATAAGAATTACTTGTAATTTATACTGAATAAAAAATATTCTATTACATTCTTTTCCATATATAGTTTTTTCTAGTGGTGTATCTTTGGTTATTCTGATTCTCCTGCGGTTATCGTCGTTTTTAAGTCTCAAAGAGAAACCCTGAGCATAGTCGTCTCCATAGTTCGCTGAGGCTCGCGACTTCGAGCGTTCTCATACGGCTAGGTAGGATGGACCACGTCTCAGATCCAAAGATCATCATTGGCAACACGTACTGGCTGTACAATTTAGTTTTGAGGTTTTGAAGTATGCCAGACGAGAAGATGTCCCAAATGCTACCCAGCCGAGTTGAATACGTCGATTGACTTCTCGATCGAAGTTGGACTTATCTAGTCGGACTATTTGTCCCAGGTAAACATACTCGTTAAAAACTTCGAGTTTAGTGCTCCAAACAACTACCGGCATAGGGGTGACCTGGACATTGCTCATGACTTTCATTTTGTCCATCTTTATCTTAAAACCTATTCATTGAGAGACACTATTGAGTTCATTGAGCACAATGCTTAGCTCCTCCAGCGATTCTGCCATAGGGATTATGTCGTCAGTATATCGAAAGTGAGTGATGTACTTGCTATTGACGTTAGTACCGTATCCTTTTCCATTCCGGTGGCTTTAAAACGTCTTCAATGCAGCATTGAAGAGTTTCAGGGATATTACGTCACACTGTTTCACATCTCTCTGCAGCTGGATAGGTTTGGTAGGTTTCGTAAGGGTGACAAACGAGCACACAGTCCATCTGATGGGAAGTGGATACTGTGGCTCATAGACATCTACACTTAACCTTGCTTAAGAATCAAAATGCTGAAGCGTTGTCATCCTTGAGGACTAAGATGGAATGCCTTGATTCCAGTAAAACGGGTTTTCGGTTCCCTACACTCACCATACGAAATACAGCAGCATTAAGTTGCTATTTTAAGTTGGAATTATATGAGAGCGTGGTCCTTCCCCGATCGAGCCGACCCATTCATGCTACAAACATAATAGCTGTAGTGTGGCCTTACCACGTAAACATATAGCACGCAAATAACCCCAGAGTTTAGTAGAAGCCAGTTATTTCGATATTACAGACAAATTTCAATTTAATATACACACTCATTAACATATCAACAGAATCTAGCGACACCTTAATCCTAAATTATATAATTAAAATCTTTTTTGTTCCCATAAAATGTTTATACACAGATTTTATAGGTGGAATAATATAAGATATTATAGGTGGAATTGTTTACAACCGGCAACTTTTCCGGACTGATACGACTTAGGGACCTCGAAGAAAAGAGCTTACTCCTTTCAAAAAGACCGGAAACGCATCTGCAATTATCCTGGTGTTGCAGTGTTTCATGGGCAGCGATAGTCACTTACCATCAGGTGCGCCGCATGCTCGTTTGCCCACTCTTCTATAAAAAAAAATTAAAGTTTGGTCTGTCTGCTCAGGCTAATCTTCGGAAGGAATGGCTGAACCAACTGTAATGAAACTTCGCAAGCATGTAGAGAACAATGCGAGGAAGGATCCAGGGGAAATTCGAAAAACTTAATTTTTATTTAAATGTAAACAATTAATAAACCTGATATCTTTGATTATCTTATATCTAAATAATGGTATATTAATAGATCCTATTCGTGCAAAGCCGGAGCTTGTCGCTATTTATAAACAAATTAAATTTCCAATTGGAGTTGCTAGTCTGCAGTCTGTCTGATTACTAATTACTCTAATGAAAGTTACCTAGACCCGACACCAACGAGTACAATTTGCATGTGGAGCGAACCAAGTTGTTAGCTTTGTTGGACACCGCCTAACTGTCATTGGCGTGCCGAGTATAATAATATTATATTTATTAGATATTCGTATTTAATGTGGTTAATTTTAAACACTGTTTTAATTGCAATGGTGCTACTTCAAGTCTTCAGTACATTTTTAGTTAAAAATGAACCGAGCTTTTTAAAGCTCGCAAGGCAATCTTACATCTATAAAAAATTAGGGGGACAAACGAGCGCACTGTCAACCTGATTGTAAGTAAGGTTATAAAGGTATTTTGTCCAGATACATCCAAAAGCATCTCTCCACAATTGAGTATTAAAATAGAAATGAGATTTTCAAGTGGTTTAACCACGCTGTAACTTTTATTGTTTGCTACACAGCAGCTTTAACAGGTCGTCTCGATCGATTGAAGGACCATGCTATCATAAATTAACATCGTAAAATAGCAGCTCAATGCTGCTGTGTTTCGTATGGTGAATGTAAAGAACTTTCTACTGGTAATGAGGCATTAAATTTCAGTCCTCAAGGGGTGACAACGCATTACCTTATTCCAACGCATTTTATTACATGTTGTTTCTTTATCGAGGATAGATGTTGATATCTATGGTCACAGCATCTACTCATCATCAGGTGATTCCTGTGCTCGTAAAAGTAAGTATGATTATTTCTATGAAAAGGTAATTATAATTTAGATCTGGGATATCATAACTATTCTGCAGCTTATTCGTATAACCTGGTAAATTACGGCGATTAACGCAATTTCTGCTATTGGATGGAAGCGGTGATACCACGACCTCACAGAATACCGGTGTGAAGTGGAAGCTCTGCTTCTGCGTTTCGTCTGGTGAGTGCAGGTGGCCGGAGGCCCAAATTACCCTCCCCCCATCAACATGGTAGCGGAATTAAATGATAGACTGGGTACCCAGGAGGGTAGACAGCCAGCACCCCTGGAGAATCCCTCGCGAGATCCACGATAGAACATGTTCTGAGCGTGCGTGCTCAGACTGCCCGCGGGGGGGCGGGCTAAATTCCGCTCAAGGTTACAACTGCTCGGGGCAAACGGAGCAACAAAACCAAGGCGACCCCTGCCACGCTATCCGTGAATTTCTGCAATATCAGGGGACTTCACTCGAACCTAAACGCCGTCAACTACCATCTCTAGACGGCGAGGCCGGCTCTGCTCTTTCTGACCGAGACGCAGGTGTCCTCTTCGGTTGATGTC